AAGAAAGAAGGAAGAGGGGAAATCATATTTTTAAATATCCAGTTGCTTGAAATACTCATAGCCAATTTGGTAAAATGTTCACAGCATCCTTTATCCTCAGCAAACAGAAACACTACTTCAGTTTGAAGAATGTGCTGTACACCCCTAAAAGAGACCAAAGGAGATGGAACTAGTAAGGGAGGGCCGAGCCTGGAGAGAGGAGGTACTTGGTGCTTTCAAGCGCCTATTAAGTGTGAACTTCTTCCTTGAATTAAATATTAATATTTACTTCATAAGTGGGAGAATAAAAGAGGGCAAGTTAATTAGATGGAGGAATTAATTTTGTTTACCTTTGTAGTACTGCAAACATAAACAGCTCCTAACCCTGTGTACACACTCCCTATATATATGACGGCATGTCTTCTACAATGTGTATCCACACACACACTACTCCTAAACACTCTTATCTGTTTAGCCAGCCAGTTAACGTTAAACCAATGTTTGGACGAGTGCATGTCTCCTATAAACATGAGTAATGTATTTGTCGTAAAAATAATGATTAGAATGAATTAATCCATCTGATATGTGTATTATATGGATTTAAATATGTTGTTTTAAGAGATTCTCATAACCTTGGATGCCACAGTTAAAAACAAACACTAGCACAAACCATTTTGCAATCTCTTAACAAATAAAATTGCCTTGATTTAAATAACATTTATTTTACATGACCAAACACAATAAATAACGTAATATACAAAGCTTTATAATTATTGCACATTTGTAAAATATCTTACAGTTAAGTTCATACATCCAGCAATATTTAAAGCACGAAGACTTTATTTACAGTTTTATTTCAATATAATAACCAGATCCAATGGACCTAACATATGATGAATTTATGTTAATTTTACCAACCAGCGTTCTCATCAATCATATATATTTTTGGGGGGAAATGTAAACATTATTGCCTAAAGTACCTTATATACATCTGTTAGCTGATCATAACAAAGGACTTTAACAATCTAAATAGGTAAAGCTGATAAAGGGTACCATATTTTGGTTTATTTTATTTAGCCTTAAATTATATATTAATATTTTTAAAAATGTAAACTCAGTGAATAAGAGCTGGTATAATCAATATTTTACATAAGTAGTCTCATGTTTTTAAAAACAAAAACTTAAGCTTTAGATCATTGCCATTTCATTGGGGAGTTCTCTAATATTTTATGGTAATATTTTAATAGATCCCAGGAATTTTGAAATACTGTTTCCCCTTTATATATTTTCCATTTGATGGAAATAATTTCTCCTGGAAAACTAATTCTTTCAAAAGTTTACTGAAAGCCTATATTTAGGAAATGATATTTTAAAATCCAGTGTCTTTAAAATAACAATAATATGTCAGGACACAAATTTGAAATAAACCACAGAAAATAGTGCCAATGTGTATGTATACATGAATATGTGTGTATCTCTTACATATGTATTTGTTTAAGAGCACGGATATATATATGCATATACATACATATACATATATATACACATACACAAACACATGTAGGTAGCCTACCTACATTTTAATACACATACACACACATACCCACTTCGCTGGGCCTAAACATGCACTAGCAAGTTATTTTAGGGCTTCAACTCTTCAGAAAATCTCATTATGTGAGGAGCGAAGTGGCTCTGCGGGGAACATTATGGAAATATCTGGGCTTGATTTAATGAGGCTGTTCACATTGGTGGAATATCAACTTAACAGAGAAAAGTCTACCCAGGGCGTCCAAGTTACCAAAATGAAATTGGCAATTGAGATGATAAGAACGTGGCTTTCTTCTGCGAAATCACTTCAGGTAACAGAGATAACATTAAATAACATACATTCTATGCACCAAGAACAATGTTTTATGTACCGAGTCTCTTATCCGTCTCTCCTAATGACTTCCCTTAGCGGGTTGTTAGTACTTGACAGCAGGTCTCCGTGCGGGGAACTTTTCTCCAATTCCACATTCAAAGGAGGTCCATCAGAGAGCATGATTGGCAATTTTCGTCATAATCTGCACATTATTAGCATCAAAATTGACGTGGCAGTTAACACTGGTGGGTTTTGATGTACCTTTCTTCAAGTTCAAGTAAACCCCTCCAGTAGCCAGGTTGGCAGAGCGGGTCTCAGCAACCCAGCGGTGGCTTTGCAGAGGCGAAGGCGCAATAGACATGCGTGAGAAATATGCCAAGAACCATTTCACCCGAGGAAAAGCAAAGCGAGGAGGGAAGGGGACGAGGGGCATAGAGAGTTCTAACTTAGAAAAGTGTCTAAGGAAATGCTTTAGGATAATACTAATATATCTAGAGATTCAAGTATTTCCCAGATCGAGTGGAACCCGGTAGTTGGAAAACTGAGCTGAAAAAACCTCTTCAAATACTACAGCGATCTATCAATCTTGCCCCCACCCCCAACCCCTTCTTTTCCCTTCCCTGGCCTGGCTGTGGCATCCTCTTTTGCCATCACTTTTTGCATAAAATATGCAAGATGCTTCCATTCCATCAGCACTGAAACCAAAGACCAAAAGAGAGAACGGTGTTGGACCGAGAAGGAGGCGGCGCAACGGCCACCCCTTCCAGCACCTCGGGTTTGTCCTTCCCGGGGAAGGCGGCCACAGCCCTACCCGCCTTGCTCCTGAACGCAGTAAACAATCTCACAAACACAACCGCCGCTGCCCAGGCTCTCCATCCGCCCTCCCGGCCTTCTCAGACCTCCGTTCCCCCGCTCTCTTCGGGCAGGGTCCCTAACAAGCTCAGGCTGAAGAAACATTTGCCACCTCCCCCACCCTCGTTGAAAGAAAAGGAAGGATGGAAGAAAAAGAGCAGCAGCGAGAAACCTCCGGGGCGACTCCTCCCCCGCCCCCAAGCACCAGCACACAGCATCCCCCTCTGTCTTTGTTGTGGTTCTCCGCTGCTTCCGGCCACGCGGTTCAGCCAAGCAACCCGGGCCTGAGAGCGCACAGCCAGAACTAGCTTAGGGGGCGACGGGTTTGTCTTTGGGGAACCAAGCGCTCAGGACAGAGGTGGCAAGTGGGTCCTGGGAGCCAGAAAACAGAGAAGGGCGAACGGCTGGGTGGCAAATACAAAAATAGAAATAATTTAGGGGGATGCCTGCCAGGCTTCTCCGCCTGCTCTTTCTCCCCCAATTCGGGGCAGGTTCCCTTCGGCCTCCTGCACCCCGGGGCGCCCCCTGGCGGCAGCGGTAGCAGCGGGCAGCGCGCGGAGGGTTCAGGGGGCTCACAGGGTACTCCCGGGCACACTCAGAGCGGCGGGCACGGCCCCCTGGCGGTGGCGACGTAGTTATCTGGTGAGCGGAGCCTCGTCCCTCTGGTCCGGCGGGCTCACGGCCGTCTTACTAAGCACTGCGGCCGAGTAGGGCAGGAAGCCGCTCTCGGAACGCGGCGCCGCCGCGCTGCAGCCGAAGTCCGAGCCTCCTCCGGCCCCTGCGCCCCCGCCGCCGCCGCCGCCACCACCGCCGCCACCGCCACCCCGGGAGCCCAGGGCTGCGGCAGCTGCTGCCGCGGCTGCTGCCGCCGACTGACTGTTGTGGCAACTGAGGCACGAGCAGGGTGCAGAGCCGCCGCTGGGGGGCGCTCCGGCCGCCGCCGCGGAGGAGGCCGCAGCCGCTGCTGCGGCCGCGGCCGCGGCGGCCGAGGCCGCGCTGTTGAGCCCTGCGGCGGCCGCGGGAGCCTGGTAGAGACCAGGGTGGCGGAAGCTACATAGCAGTTCCGGCCGAGAGTAGGGGTGCGAGAGGGCGCGGAAGGTGTCCAGTGGCCGGATGGAAGTAGCGAAGGGCGACGAAGCCGCGGCCGCCGCACCAGAGGCTGCAGCCGCGGCCGCCGCCGCCGTGACGCCCACGTGCGGGTAGTAGTGCAGCGGCACGTGCGAGTGGAAGGGGTAGGGCAGGCTTCCGGTGGCGGCCGCGTGCGTCATCATGTAGGTGTAGAAGCTGGGGTCCGCTGGGTGCGGCCAGGACATCGCCAGGCGCTGCCGCTTGTCCTTCATGCGCCGATTCTGGAACCACACCTGCGGGGAGAGACGCGCCGCAGCCCGGGTTAGGGAGCGCCCCGTGTTCCCTGCTCCTGTCCCGGGACCTCTGCCCCTCCCGGACCTCTGAATGGCTTGGCCTACTTCTCTGCGACCAAGCCCAACCCCGAGTATCCTGTGCTCTCCCAGCTGGGAAAGTGTGAACGGCCGTGTGTGGACCGCCGTGGGCACACCGTTCTCAGCGAAGAGGGTCCTCTCCCCCGCGTCCGGTTGCTGCTGCTCCTCAGGCTTTTACTCCCTTACTTCTTGCTGCGACTTTTTTGTCCCAACCCAACCTTTCCTCTCCCTCCTGCCACCCACCAGTGCCGGTCTCGCCGAGCACCCCTCTCTCAATCCCAGGATTTGCACAGGGATTCTGGGCAGCCTTTGAAGAGAGGCTGCCGCTCAGCTTTTCTGAGAGGTCTCTGCGCGAAGTCTTGAGCCCTCAGAACTGCAAGGACCTGTCCCTAGGGGCACGGGTCCGATTTTGATATTGAAGGGATGATTTCGTTGGAATCGTTTGCCTTAAATGAGTGGGTAGAGCAATGTCTCCATAAACGGGGAAGGTTACGTTTCCACCCCTCCCAACACTATCTAATAAAGACATCATTCGTCACAACTCTAAATTAAAGAAAGCCCGATCAAACCACAGGGAGACTTCCACACTCCTCCCCTACCCTGTGGAGTTTTTTTCTTTTTCTGCAGTGTCGAACGCTCCATGAAGGGCTCACCAAATCGCCTAACCTCCCGGCTATCTCTCCCAGACGTATAATAAAATTAATAACCTAAAGTTATATATAAATAAGGACAATTTCGTTGCATTTTTCCCCGCAGGAAGTTGCCCTTTTTTCATTGCCCAAGAGGAAAATGTTTAGGAAACTACTGTCTCAAACCAATCGATTTTTAAAATACAGTATATTTTTCTCCATGTAACGATTTATGCGGAAAATAAATCTCCAAGCTCAAGAGCAAATGAAAAGTTTCATCTCTGGTTCCTGCTTGAGGAACAAAGACCAACTGGGCTTGCCGCCTAGGGGAAAGTGGGGCCGTGGATATGGGCGAGGGGGCATCTGGCCAGGCGTTGGGCACAATGGAGCAGAGGCAAGTGCTTTCAGCATTGGAGTGACCATTCGGGGGCCTTCTTAGATCCGTCAGGCGGGACAACCGTTCGGATTCGGTAGCCGAGAAATAAATAAGCCAATTCCTTTGGTGACTACCCCCCGCGGATTTCCAGACCCTCAGCTAAATCTAGCCACCCAGAAAGGGGAAAGGGGAAAAAGAAACAACCCAGATGCCCCCGGGGAGGCCAGAGCAGGCACGCACTGGAATCGATACCTTGATGGTGGTTTCGGGCAGGTTGAGCGCCGCGGCCAGCTCGCACCGGCGGGGCCGCGACACATAGTTCTCCCGGTAGAACTCCTTCTCCAGGCGCGCGATCTGCTCGCGGGTGAAAGCCGTACGGTAGCGCCGCACTTGATCCGCGCCAGAGCCGGAGCCACCCAGCGCCGCGCCCCCGCCGCTGCCTCCGCTGCCTCCATGCAGGCTTCCAAGGCCTGAGCCCGATGCCGACGTCGTGGTGCCGGCAGCCGAGCCGCTCTCTGCGTACCCTGGCAAACAAACGGCCAACAGCGCATGAGTGGCTGTAGGGCCAACAACCCCGCGCTGGTGCTGCGCTCGGATCGGGGAAGCCCCGTCAGGAAGGAGAGTCGCTGCCTGAATTGATGGGGTCTGTCATGCTTACAAATTGCTGCGGTTAATGGAATCAATAAAGTTTGGGGAGTCCTTCATAAGCAAATAATAGAAACGGAATTATGAGATTTCTTTTTTAATAATTAGAAATTGTCAACTAAGGAGGAAAAGTGGCCGAGGGAAAATGCCTACCTCTGGGCGCAGTTTGGGAAGCTCTGGGTTTGCCATGGTCTGGAGACCGCAGGGCAGCTTTCTGTATGGCCTCTAACCTTTATTGAGTCTTCGGGGTTTCAAATATTTTAAGAGTTCCAAGACAGCAGCAGCTCAAACCCAAGCCAATAGGGGGTGAAATCTACTTTTCAACTCTCTCCAGCTGACCTTAGCAGAGACGCCCGGCGAGGCTTCCGCCGACTTACCCAGAAGAATGCCCCCTCCATTTGGCCCTGAAGGCTCAGAGGCACCGGAGTTCAGAGTAGTTGCCCAGCGTACCTTTTCCAAAAGCAACTCGGCTGCTGACTAAGTAAGGGTCTATCGGCTCGCTCGGGCTCTCAGACACGAGCGCAGAAACATTTTCTCGGACTCAGGAGCGAGGGCGGGTGGGCCTGGTGTTCCAGGCTCCGCAGGCCTGAGCCTTGCGGGAAAACTCAAGGAGCAGGAAGGGAGGGCACGGTCCCAGACATGCGTCCCGCCCCCGCCCGTGCTAGCTCGGTGCAGCTTGCTGGTGGAGGGTCTGAGAGGGGCAAAGGCACCGGGAAGGGCTGGCGGGGGCCGCGGAGGAGCAAAGAGAATGGGACTGAATTGCGGGGTGCGGCCGGCGCGGTTACCTTTGCCATTGTTTTCCTTGAGCTGAGCGGTGCCGAGGCCACCGGGGGAGCGCAGCGCGGAGCAGCCCACCTCCACGTCGCTGCTCATGTCGGCCTCGGCGGCCGCCTCTGAATAATGGCCCGGCTTCTTGCGGCTCTCGGCGGCAGAGGAGATTTCGGAGGAGACGGTGCTTTCGCTGCCCGTGTGCTGCAGGTTGAACAAAGTGTCTATTTCGAATTTGCCCTTGGCGGGGAGGTCTCCCAGAGCGCCGTGCAGGGGGGCAGACGGCAGGCGCGGGCTGAGGCGAGCCGGGTGCTGCGAATTTTCCAGGGCCTCGAGCACAGCATTGCCAGCCGAGTCGGACAAATTGGAGAATCTCTTGCCAGCCGTAGGGCTGTGCAGCCCTCTTTCCATCAGAATCATCTCTTTTCTTATTCTTTCCATCATCTCAGCTTTCTTAAAAATGTCACAGTGGCCCTACTGTCCCGTCCTAATGATAGGCTGCGCCTAGGGCTAATTCTCATTCAGCCCCAGCGAACGCCTCTAAATATTATTATCTCTTTCGGAGGGAGGCGGAAAAATTGTGGGATGCCAGAGCGAGGGAATGACTGGTCAAAATGACCCATACATCCTTCCGAGCCCGAGATGTCATTCATCAAAAAGTAGCGCCCGCTCGTCATTAAGGTACGAATGACGCTGTTCGAATAATCATTTATTGTAACAGGTTTATAAGCAAATAAATACACGCTCCTGTCAGTGGGTAATGAAGGCAGCTTCAGAGCAGACAAATAGATCCAGGTAGGAGGCGAGAAGAGACAAGTGAGGAGGAAGGCTCCGGTCCTTTGCCCGCTCGGAGCCTGTTCTGCTCGCCCGGGGGTTTGGCCTCGGGGGTGAAATTGACAGTCTGATTAATAGAGCGCGCCGCGGCACATTTCCCCCTTCATTTAGGGGCATCATTACGCTCTCAGTTTGCTGGGTTGCCCCTTAGGTCCTAATCATGCAGCGCCTTCCTCATTTTTCCTTGGACACAGATATGTATTAAATAATAGATAATGGTTTGACTTTCCGGGGTAGATCCTCGGGAAGGTTTTTTTTTTTTATTTTTATTTTTTCGTTTTGTTTTAACATTTACAAGCTGCGGGCGTAAGTGGGGGGAGATAAGGGGGAGGATGCAGGAAGAGTTGCGTAAGGAGAAGACCTTGCGCCTCTCCTGTCTGGATTACTTATCTTTCGGATTTCAGAACCAAATATGTATTTTATTTAACAAATAGGATGCCAGAGTTCTCTCCCTCCCTATTTCTTCACCTCAGCCTGAATGCTCTCCTCCCACCCCGGGGGTGGGTGGATGGGGAGAGGGAGAGAGCGAGACAGAGACAGAGAGAAAGATACACACACACACACACACACAGAGAGAGAGAGAGAGAGAGAGAGAGAGAGAGAGAGAGAGAGAGATCCTAGAGTTTTGGAAGCGCTTTCTTGCTACGTGGCCGCGGAGGTGCATTGGGCCCGCGCCTCCAAACGGAAATCATTAGGTCCTCTGATTTTCTAACACCGTTTGCAGAGTGAGATCTGAACTCGAAGTCCCCGGTTTTTTACTTTTATAATCCTGCTGATAGCCTTCTCGCCTACGCACTTTCCCGAGGGGAAACGAACTAGGCTGAACGATTTGATAGCAGAATTCGACAGCTAACTTTAAACACAGTGGAGATTTACAGCGCCATACGGGCGCTCCGAATCCACTTTCACGTTGCCAGATTTTCCCCTCCCTCCTCAAATGGAATTATTTGCGGCAAAGGCGCTGGACTTCGAGGTCAAAAGAGGAAAGAGGAGACAGCCTTCTTCCCCTACCTCCCTGCTGCCCTCCCTTTTCTTCCTTCTCTCTTTCCTCCCCTCATCAACCCCAGCCCCTTACCTGCGGCCACAGGTATTCCCAGCGTTGAGTCTGGGCGCAGAGAGTCGCCGAACAGCCTTACCGCAGCTCTCTGCGGCCTGGGCTTGGCGGCTGAGCCTCTTGGCGATAACTTTGATTGTCATAATGACGCCGGTGGCAACCATTTTAAGGAAGATCAATCTTCACTCAAGGCCGCTCCTCATCTCCCGCAGTTGCGCCCAACCCTCCCTGACCCTCCAAGCACTGTGCCCGCCCGCCAGCGGCCCAACGGGAGAGATTCGCGGACACTGGCGGAGGCGAGGGAGGACGGGGATGGAACGCGGAGGTCCGCCCGTGAGCTTCTGAAGCGGCTGAGAGACCCTGACAATCTGGGCGCTGGGCGCGGTCCTGCATCCCCGCATTTAGCGTCAACCCAGACCCCAACCAGGACCCCCTCCTCTCCTTTCTCCCGACATACCCAGAACATTGGGGTGCGTTAGGGGGGCAAACTCGAGATCTATTTGCCTATCGTTCTTGGCGCTTTCGTTTTAACCTTAGACCCGTTGGGGGCGCGTCAGGAATGTAAGGGGAGGCGAAGTGTGAAGTATATTTATATACATATATACACACATATAGTCAATGCCAAAAGTTTATCTTCTGTTCCCCTCGGCCCCAACTTATTTCCACAACGTGAGCTTTGCTTAGAAAATCAATTCCACCTATTTAAGGTAATAAACGGAAAGCTCGATAGACAGGCGGTGCCTGGGGGAACGGGTAACCGGTGGGGAACGCAGAGTGAGCATCCGGCACCGGAACTGGGACTTGACCCAGCGTCCATCTCTGCCCCTGCCCCATTGGCCACCCAGCTCCGAGCTCCCTGAGTTCTCATTGCGCCGGCTTTGGGGACATCAGCGCGGTGGGAGCCCAGCCCTGCCAACGCCCCCACCTGCTCCCTCCCTGCTCCGCAGCCGGGATGCCCAATTCTACCATGCCTTGCAGTCGCTGCCCCTGTGACCCGGGAAGGGTCCCCCTACCCAGTCCTCGCTTGCTCCAGGGACTGAATGAGACACCTTGGTCCAGGCTTGGGTCGTGCTGGGTTGGTGGGGGGCGGGGGGTGGGGTGCAAGACCCTGGCGGGAGTGTGGGTGAGCTGAGGCACTGCTTGGGCGGAAATCCGTGTATGCCTTTATTGCTGTCGTTTGGCGCCCCCATCTGTTTTCCTCGCGGTTTCGTCTGCTGTGAGTTGGTTCTCAAGTCGGAGACGCAGTCACTGGGAACTAAGGTGAGGACTGACGACGCCCTCCTCTATCACTCAGCCCAAGGGTCTCCCACATCTTCCCTTCCTCTGGGACCTGACGCCTCTAGTCCCAAAGGCTGCGCCAAACCGGACCTCAGTCTGTTGAAAGGGAAAACACTGTTTCTCAGCAACACTTTCATTCATTAGTGGCTTTGAAAACTATTTTTGCACCTTTTAAATTACACTGATATTGCATTTCTAGCACGTTTATTACAAAAAACATGTCAGAGACCATGTCAGTGAAACTACTCACAGTAAAAGACACCTACAATGTTTCCACTAAACTGGGTGTAGCAGGCAATAATGTTTCATGGGCTACAGTGACCATTCCATTCCAATATTTAATGTCCATTTATTTATTTAGAGATTCCACACCCACTAGTAGTAATATTGCCTAACTTATATGAAGCTCTTACTATGCAATTCCAAGTGCTTTTTATGTGTTATCTCAGCTAAGGTTCACAGCAACTCTGTGAGATTTGAACTATTATCCCTTTTCCAGAGATTATGAGCCAGAGGGGTTCAGGGACTTGCTCGTGATTTAAACTTATATCTGATGATAAAGTCAAAAGGGTTGTTTAAAGCCTTGGGCAGCATTTTTTAGGTTAATACTCTCATTTTGCCTATGTCTTATGTAAATACAGGCCTACCTCAAAAACACTGAACCTATATAGAGGGTAGTAAGAAGAATGTAGTTCCCTTTATTTGTGTGTGTGTGTGTGTGTGTGTGTTTTGGTGGTGGTGGTGGTGGTGGTGGTGGTGGTGGTGGTGGTGGTGGTTTTTGTTTGTTTGTTTTTGAGACAGAGTCTCACACTTGTTGCCCAGGCTGGAGTGCAGTGGCAAGATCTCGGCTCACTGCAACCTCTGCCTCCCGGGTTCAAGCGATTTTCCTGCCTCAGGCTCCTAAGCAACTGGGATTACAAGCATGAGCCACCATGCCAGGCTAATTTTTGTAGTTTTAGTAGATACAGGGTTTCACCAAATTGTCCCGGCTGGTCTCGAACTCCTGACCTCAGGTGATCCGCCCGCCTCAGCCTTCCAAAGTGCTGGGATTACAAGCGTGAGCCACCGCGCCCCGTCCTATTGATGTTTTTTGATGAAATACCCAAACTTGCACCTCTCCCAGAATGTGAAGGCCAAGGCTGGGAACAGGCCTGTCAAATGTTCCGGGTGGTTTGATGCAGCCTCTGTGACCATCAAGGCCTCTTACCCACTACCAAGGTACAGAACCCACTAGATAAGACAAGAATCCAACCTAAGCGTGCATGCTTTGGCAGAAATTTTTAAGATGGTGTGGGGAGTACAGGAAGGACTTCCTTCGCATGGACTGAAAAGCCCTTTTTGTTCTAAAGGAGTAATGACTTTGAAGAGGCCTAATTTTTTGGTTCGGCTTCCAGACTAAATATTTGTTTCTTGAGCAGCAGCGGGTCCTCTGAGGTGAAGTGGTAAACACTTTTGGCCTATGACTGCGGGTAATAAAAATCTATCCAGGCCGCCCGAGGGGAGGGGCGCCGGTAAAGCCGGAGCTGCAGCGAAGCCCAGGGTCTGCCGCTGCCGAAGCCTGGCTCTCCTCTTACGCTGGGGGCTGCGGGCAGTTGGGGCCGACAACCTGCGAGCCCGCCTTGGGACGCATGCTCGCTCGACAGCTGGGGCTGCAGGGTGCGATGGGACAGTAGGACCGCGAAAGCCTGGGCTTCGAGCCTCGGGCTCCCTGTCTTTAGGCAAAGTGCGGTTTCCACGGCTGCAGGTTTCGCTGCATAAGGGAAGACTCGGATTTGGCGACTCCAGTCCTCACTTCGCGGTGGCAACTTTATGCTCCCATCCCTCGGTAGGCCAGCTTCTAGCTCTCTGTCCCTTCCGGGTCTCTCTGGTTGCTTTTGTCTTTTCTCCTCCCTCTTCCGTCGCAATCCCGCGCCCCACGGAGGACGGTCGTGGTGCGGGAGTTGGGGGATACCTTCTTCCTGGGCTCTGGGGCTACGCAGACCCGTCGCCTGCCAGGAGCTCCTGTGCCCTCAGACGCCACGGGAAAACTTGCAGGGACATCTAGCGCCAGGCGTGGGGAACTGCGCGCCGCCGGGCTGGGAAGTGGAGCCGAACGCTGCCCCTCCGCCTCCCTCTCGGCTCCCCCTTCATACTTGGGCACTTTCCTCACCTTCAACCCTTTGCCCTGCCGGTAAGGACAATGTGGATTCCCCATAGAGACAACGGATTCTGCGGAATGGAGATAGGTAGGTAGACAGACATTTTCTTTTATCTCAAGCGACCGACAGAGTGAGATTTACTGGACTTAACAATGGTTTTGCTAGGGAAGTGTATTCCAGGGACAACCCCTCACCTTGAGACGTCGGATAAAACTACAGCAAATTAGGGTCCGAGCTTTTATTTTCCAAAAAAAGGTAACAAGTTACTCTGGGCCTCCGGCTCCTGCCCCACCCTCCTGCGTCCCTTTCACAGTGAGATTAGTGCTTCTCTTCAAAGGAAAAAATCCTCACTGTGTTTGATTTTCTCCAAGGCTGGAGAAGTTCTCTCCATCCCAAAGAAGGGCCCACTGTCCTGCACGAGGCAAACCTGTTTCCAGCAAATAATGTTTCTGGTTTGGAGGGGATTTGGGACTGTTGTTGCTGCAAATGATTTTCATTTGATAAAGCGTAATCGTGTTGTGAAACCCAAACGGAACATGTCTCCAAGGTAGAAGGTACTCAAATGTGGATTCCATTGTCTGGCTGTTGCTGGGGTCTCCTTTTTTCACACTACGTTTTGTTTGTTGTTATTTCTTTTGATATTTCCA